TGGGTTCATAATTAAGTCAGAGCTAGCCAATAAGAAACCAAGCAAATGGCCAACAGCTTCATAATTAATATAGTGTTTCATGTATTATTTGGGGGCCGAGACAGCTCAGGACCCAGGTGACTGGCGGGAAGACTACACGTTACAAACATAAGAATATGGGCAGCGATTAGGCTCACAGGTTACTATAATCTGCTGGCCCCTGTTGTAGAATAGCGATCATCAATGTGAGTTAACATCAGGAAAAGAGAGAGAGAGGCCAGTGAGATGGTTCAGAAGTAAAGGTACTTGCTGCTGAGCTTGACAGCCTGAGTTCTATCCCTGGGACCAACATAGTGAACTGAGAGAACCAAGCCCAACGGTTGTCCTCTGGTCACATGTTCCTTGGCAGGTTAGCGCACACAAGAAAGAGAAAAGGAGGGCCAGAGGGAGGGAGGGGACAGAGGGAGAGGAGGGAGGGAGGAAGTGAGAGAGGGAGGGAGGGAAGGAGGGAGGGAGGGGAAGAGAAGAAAGGAAGGAAGAAAAAAGGAAGAATTTTAAAGAGAGTCAACCAATAAATGACCAAGCACTTCCAAACACAATAAAACTCTTATAAAAAATAAATAAATAAAAAACAAATGAAATCATATTCTGTAATCCTTAGCATGTTGGCAAAGATCAAATGATGAATCAAAATGAAAATGAGAAAATATTTAGAACTAGATGATTACAAAGACACGGATCCACCTACCACATGGCATTTAGACTAAAATTACAGCCTTTAATATTGCATTAGACAAAGAAGAAAGGTTGGAAATTAATGAGGTTGACTTGCAATCACTTTGGGAAACAACAACGGAATAAATCCAAAGAACACAGAAGAAAATATGTAATAAAGACACGGGGAAATGCTACGAAACTGGAGACCAAAACACAAAACCAGGGAAAGGAAAGCTAAAAGCCAAGTATTTGAAAAGAACAATAAGCCAGACACAGCAGGAACTGAGCTACACCCACACTGCAAACAGGCAGGGTAGCAGGAATCAAGACTGCACATTAGAAATGCTGGGAATGACGGATTGTGGAGGTCAGAGAGAAAGCTAATGTTTTGTTAACTAGTGACTACAAAGGGTTGGGATTTACTCTGCGGGTTCTCTTCTCCCAGGTCCTTGCAAAGCTTTGTGCTTTTTCGGAACACACTTTCCATGCCTGACTCCGGGTCACCCTCACTCTGGCTGACAGACTGTGTCTCCCCTGGAACCTTCCCTTTGGGCACCTCACATTCCTGAACCGGCTTTCCCATCTGCAAACCCCACTACCTACAGCCCTATTAACTGCCATTCCTGGCCGCATCCTTGGGAGCAAGAGTTTTCTGTTGCTTCTCCTTGGGTTTCTTGCTGCAGGTCTTCTCCATTCCACCAGCAACCTCATTAACACACGGGAACCAGTGCAGCCGCCTGGTAACCCTGCCCCCAGATTCCCGTCACTTAGCCACCAGGTCTCCAAGGCAACCACAATTTAACTTCCTTCTTAAAAATTAAAAAGGAAAAAAGCCATTCTCTCAAGTTCCAAAAACATCCACAGCTCTTCTCACCTGTCAGACGAAAGCCCACACTAATGCTAGCCAGATTTTAGCTTCCCACTTAACCCCTGACCCCACGTCCTCTCCTGTCTCTGTCTCCTCTCCAGGACATGGCCTTCGTGTGGGCACAGGCAACGCAGCTCTCCTCTCCCTCCCCCTCGTTAAGGACGCCCTCCAGGAACCCTCCTACTCACACAGCTCTCTCAGACTCTCTGCAACTTCACATTCCATGAAGGATCTGGGGGCTTCACTTGGAAACACTTTATGAGTGGTTTTTCCTAGTAATTATTCATCAAATAATTGTTAAGTATGTATACTTGAAGATCTTTATTAGAACAGAGTCACAGATTGATATGTATATATATATATGTATATATACATATAAAACCTAACTATATTAACTATGTTATATATATACATATATATACAGTTAATTGGTTTATGTATAATATATTTTTTTCTAATGAGTGGAGTAGGCCTGTATACCGTGGCCTATGGAATGAGCCATTCCATGGCAGTGAGAATAGACAAACCATCACAATAGTGTGAGTGTGTGTGTGGTGTGTGTGTATATGTGTAAACGTAGTATGTATGTGTGTGTATGTGGTGTGGGTAGTATGTGTGATGAGAGTGTAAGTGTAGTATGTGTGTGTATGGTGTGTGTGATGTGTGTGTAGTACGTGTGTGTGGTGTGTGTAGTTTGTGTCGTATATGTGTGTGCTGTGTACATAGTATGTGTGGTGTGTGTGTGTGGTGTGTGTGAAGTATGTATGATGTGTGTGTAGTATGTGTGGTGGGCGTGATTTGTGTATGTAGTATGTGTGGTGTGGTATGTGTGTAATATATGTGGTGTATATGTAGTATGTGTGGGGTGTCTGTGGGGTGTGTGTATAGTATTGTAGTGTGTATGTTGTGTTTAGTGTGTGTGGTGTGTGTGTAGTGTGTGGTGTGTGGTATGTGTGTAATATGTGTGGTGTGTGTAGTGTGTATGAAGTATGTATGATGTGTGTGTAGTATGTGTGGTGTGATTTGTGTATGTAGTATGTGTGGTATGGTATGTGTGTAGTATATGTGGTCTATATGTAGTATGTGTGGGGTGTCTGTGTAGTGTGTGTATAGTATTGTAGTATGTTGTGTTTAGTGTGTGTAGTGTGTGGTGTGTGTGTCATATGTGTATACAGTATTGTAGTGTGTGTGGTATGTTTAGTGTGTGTGTAGTGTGTGGTGTATGTGTATGTGGTGTGCATGTGTGTGTATGTGCGTGCGGTGTGTGTGGTGTGTGTGGTGTATGTGTGTGTGTGGTGTGAGTGTGTACAGTGTGTGTGGTATATGTGGGGGATTTTCCATGGTCCTGTTGCAGCTGAGGTCTGTGTTGATATCTGTGTTGACTCATTGAAATGCTTGACTCTGAATCCACTACTCAGTGGTGATATTTCAGGAAAGTTCTCAAGATGATGGTTTCTCACTTCCTCTGTTCCCATCTACGACATAAGCATGCACGCACAAGTGCACACACACACCTCCCCCCCCATCCTGTATGAAGACAGCGGTCTGCAGTCTGCTCATGTTTAGAAAAGAGTACAGCAGAGCATCTGGCTTGTGCTGGGTTTGGAGGCCGTGGCTGCAGCTGGTCCAGCAATCTGGTGGCAGCCAACTGCAAGAACAGACAGTGCCCTCAGTCTCGGGCTGTGAAGCACCTGCCTGACCGCGAACAGGTCCCCAAGTCTGTGGTCACATGTGAGAGCCACATCCTGATGCCACGTGTCATTTCTCACCCAAGACGTGAACACAAGCAAATAAACCATCACCAGAAAGGAGACTTGCTGCTACGGGTTGGAGAGCCTCACATCTGCAAGAAGCCAAGATAGCAACTTCCTCCTTCTTGTCCCCTCTCCAAAATCCTCAGACTCCGCTCCTTCTCGTGTCTCCCTCTCCAAAACTTGAAACCCAGTATCGTCCAGCTGTACACACAACTGTCTCTTCTCTCTTCCTGACTTCTTCTTGTCTTGCCAACTACACCGGCTTCCCCTGTCACCTCAAACTACCAACCTCGTACTCACACTCCTGGAACTTTCCATGTACCCTCCTCCTCTGTCTCTATTCCAACGTCACCTTCTCAGAGCCCTGGACTGGCCCCCATAACCAGCCTAAACTGGATTCCTAACCTGTCATTTTCTTTCCCTTTGTCCTGACCCCAGCTGTCAGAAATTGCAAGTGTCCATTATTTGTCTATTTGTTTGCACGCATGTCTCCTTTGTTGGTAGTGTTGTTAATTAAAGTTAGAAATTAGAAGCTAGAAGGGGCGGAAGGAGGAACTTGAGCACGGGTACAGAACCGGGACCGTAGAGATACAGCATGAGCCATGGAGAGTGTGTTAATCATAATTTATTATAGCGAGACCAAAAGGGGGAGACAGACATGAGAGAGAGAGAAAGATAAGGAAGAAGAGAAGATGAGAGAGAGTAAGTGGGCTGGGGTCTGTCCTTTTAAGGGGTCCTTTGCACCTGCGTCCTGACTGGTTCTCATGGAACTCTGGGCTGGCCAGAGAACTGCCTGTGTGTATTCTGCCAGGTAACAGGGGCAGGCCAGCGTAATGCCTGAACCTTTCAGGTAGGCTGGAGACTGTAGAAGAGTTTCTGTCACTCCACCCTGTATCTTCCAGGTCCAGTAAGCTACCACTAACCACCACCAAGAAAGTAGTCAGGATTAAGTGATTCATATCTGATTGATGGATTGATTGATTGATTGATTGATTGACGACTGCCAAGAGAGAGAACATTACCATTTGAATTAATTAACTAGAAGGACTTTTTCCCTTCATCCCAGGTGGTCTGGGAGGTTTGGAAAGCAATGGAAAAAATTATGCTTCTTTTCACAGTGAAAGCTACAGGGGCTGTGTGGGATCAGCCCAGAATTACACAAAGCTTCACTTGCAACACACAAGCTGGATGGACTTTGGAAAATGACTTTCTGTTGATGGAACAAATAAGGCGTGTTTGAGTTGTTGATACACTCAGAAGAAAGAAGGATTAGGAAATTATTTATAGCAAACCGTTAAAGTGCGGTAAAATTCATGAGGCCTGAGTTACGACAGTCCCAGGGCAGGCAAGGAGTGAGGTGTCTGTGCAAAGCCTGTCTGTGATGGGTTTCACACAGATACAAATTCACCGTGACACACTGGGCTGAAGCCTCTAGCCCCCAAATTCATTCCTGTCTAGAATACATGTCTTAGTTGCTTTTTCTCACTGCTATGATAAAATACCTGACAATAGCCAGGCGGTGGAGGAGCACGCCTTTAATCCCAGCACTCAGGAGGCAGAGGCAGGTGGATCTCTGCGAGTTCGAGGCCAGCCTGGTCTACACAGTGAGTTCTAGCATAACCAAGGATACACAGAGAAACTCTGTCTCAAGGGTAAATAAACAAATAAATGGCAAAGGCAACTTAAGGAAGAAAGGCTTTATTCTGGCTCACAATTCAAAGGTGTGGTCCATTATGACAGGGAAATCAAGGAAGTAGGAGCTCGAAGAAGTTGTCACATCACATGTACTATCAGGAAGAAGAGAAAGATGAAAGCTTGTATCTCTCTCTGTCTCTCTGTCTCTGTCTCTCCCTCCCTCCCTCTCTCTCTCTGTCTCTCCCCCTCTCTCTCCCTCTCCCTCCCTCTCCCTCCCCCCCCTCTCTCTCTGTCTCTCTGTCTCTCTCTGGATAAATTCTGTTTTGTTTTTGAGAAATTTCATACAGACCCTCCCACTTCCCTATCGCCCAAATACCCAACTTTTATCTCCTCTCTCTCCCACTGAGTATGGTCTGTGCAGGCTGACTACTCCTGGGCATATGGTCTACCCTGGAGTATGGTCCATATCCCAGAGATCACACCATTAGAGAGAACTGACTTCCCCTATCTCAGCAGAAATAAAATGCTCCCCACCTAGGCGTGGCATACAATGCCCACCTCCCCTGCACCATACTGGGGTGATGTTTGGCTTGAGCTTGTGTAGGTCTTACCCGTGTTGTCACAATTGCTGCGAGCTCAAATGAGCATCTTCCCTGTGGTGTCTGGAAAACAGCTCCCTCGAAGTCATCCGCCATCTCTGGTTGCTACGATACATCTGCTCCCTCTTCTGCAGAGATCCCTGAGCCTTGAGGAGGGGCTGTGAGACAGACATTCCATTTAGGACAGAGCGCTATGAACACATTCTCGTTTTTTTTTATACAGACCAAGATCCCAGCCCAGGGAATGGACCTCCCACAATGGGAGGTGAAGATGGAGAATGGGCCACACCAAGGACACTGGGGAGGGGGGTCGTATGATACTTTATTAGAGAGAGAGAAGTCACTCACATGAGAAGCCGAGAACTGAGGTCAGCGCTCCACTGGTCTCCGACCTCAACGGCAGCCCCAAGAGAGCACGACCCCTCCTTCCTTGAGCTTTATCCCACCTCTGCCCACATACCTGTGGCCACACCTATTTGGGCATGGTCAGTGCTGCAGGTATGTGAGATCTCTACATACATGGTGGTCTTCCCATGGGTATTCCCAAAGACCTTTCTTCCCCGTTAGTCCAGATAGTATCAGGTTGACAGATGAGATTAGCGATGTGTGGCTGGGAATTTAATAAGGAAGAAGGACTTTGCAGGTACTTCTTCTGTTATGATGCACAGGATGGGACTAGTGGAACCCAGTGGAGTAAGTGTGACTTCTTAAGAAGAAATTCAAACAAGAACCAGGTGAGGATGCCACTTGAAGATGGAGACAAATCGGAGTGATGGGTTTACAAGCCACGAACTGCCATCAGACATGAGAAGCTAAGAGGCCACTCTCCCCTTCAAAGAGATCACCACCACGGCAACATCTTAGTCTTCTGGCCTCTGGACCTACAAAATACACTGCTTCTTTAACCGCTGTCCATGGTGCTTTATCTGGCAGCCCAAAGATGTGCGTGAGTATGCTCACACTTGCAAGCCACCCCTTAGAGTATCTACAGGCGGTACTTACACCTCACCTTTGCCCTATTAAGTAAAACTTTGTAACCAAGGAAACATCTCTCCCTCTCAGCTTTGAGAATCTACTAAGAAAAGCTCCCAAAAAATGGTGAAGAACAAAGATTAATTGTTCCTCCGCCTGCTCATTATATGACACTTGTCAATCTTGGTGACCTAGTTCCCTGCCTGCGTGGAATGTCTACCGAGGCCACAGTGGCAGCAACCGCCATTAGCAGCTCTCTCTGTTACCTGATGACTAATCGTCAGTTGGCATCCTTCCTGTGGCACCATTGGAGAAGTTCTAGAAGGTCCCAATTGACTGAGGAGTGAGTAGCCAGGAGCAATTTGATTTGCTTCCCCTAGCATGTGATTCTATGCAGTCAACCAATAAGGAGAACGTAGTCAGTGAAACCCAACAGCCTGTGAGGTTGCTTAGCAACCAGAAAGCAGAGAGGAACGGTCAGCACTCAGTAGGAACAGAAGGGAGGGTCCACACTCCCTGTGATGTGTGAACCATATCTGTACCTGCCTCTGTTCTGGGTGGGAAAGCCTCATGCCACACCAGCTGTCCATGAACACCAATCGTCTTCCAAACACTCCTGTCTCCTTGCCATCTACTCCTTCCTCGTGGAGGTGACTTAAGTGTCCTGGTTCTTCCACAAAAGTCATTTGTCTGCACTCCTCACTGGGGAGGAGACAAATCACCAGTGGTGCTGAGTGAAAGTCATTCATCTTTTTCACTCTCCCTCCCCTCCAAGACTTATGGGCACCAGTGATGCAGGAAAGCATGACTGTTCTACAGAATGAATTTACTACGAGATTAGACCGTGAACAGGAAATAAGCAAGGCCATTTGGACTCTGTCCTACAGTCAATCTCCATCAATTACAAAGGTAGCGTTGTCCCCCACGTGTTCTTCATCTGTGTGACTCCTCAATTTTTCAGGATCAACGTGTTCAGCAAAGGTTCCATGTCCTGGGTTTTCCTGTGTCAGAGGTACAGTTTATTCTCATGACTTGAGGTAGATAATGATCTACAAAATCACTGTAATTGGTGAATGAGAAGGCACTAAATCATTTCTCCTAAGAGAAACGTGTGTGTGTGTGTGTGTGTGTGTTATGTGTACATATATGCACACCCATATAAACTGAAAGTCAGTTACATATCTATATCTATGGAAAAAGAGACTACGGTTTGAATAAATGTTCCCCAAAGCCCGTATGTTAAAGTCATGATCACCCAAATAGGGAGAAGGGATGTTAAGAGGTCAGTCCTAGTGGGAGCTTCTAAAGTCACCGGGTAGTGGAGCCTTCTTGCTTAGCTTGAAGTGGGCTAGTCTATGGCTAGTCCAGACCTTTGAGGTTGGGAGGTGCATATCTTTGACCCTGATATTGAGGCAGGGAGACACACCTTTAATCTGGGTCACACCTTCTGCTGGAAGTCTCCATAAGGACATAGATAAAGGAAACTTTTGCTCTTTGCCTGCTTGTCTTTGCCTTCCTAGATCATATACATGCAATGGTCAACCTTCACTGTCAACCTGACAGGGGCTGCCTATCAGATATTTGCATTATGACTTACAACGGTAGCGAAATTACAGCTATGAAGTAGCAATGAGATAATTTTATGGTGGTGGCGTCACCACAACGTGAGGGTTGCTGCATTGGGAAGGCTGAGAACCAACGCTCTAGTCCTCCATGAAGCAACCCCAAGACAGCATTGGACAACCAGGGGATTCACTACAGGTAAAGGATGAAGGGAAGGAGCATCAGAGAGCGGAGAACCGTCCAACAGGTGACAAAGTCTGGACACCATGAAAGGAGAAACAAAGGGAAGACGGGGAGAAGTCTCCCCGTGCTCAGACAGCATCCACCAGGACAGAGGGAGGTCCCGAAGCCCGGGCTGCCCCTACCCAGTTAACAGCACGCTCCCAAGGTCAGCCACCAGCCAGACCAGCTGGGGTACACAGCTTGGCGCTCAGGGGGTGCCAGGTGCGGGCTGTTATATCAAGAAAGAGATATAAGCAGTGTGGCGGTGCTGTGATCTGCCAGAGCCAGTGAAGGGAAGCGGAAAGTGGGGTGTGTTGGCGATAAAATCCAAGCTACACCCCCCCCCCACGGTCCTTTGCTCGCTACCTTTAACACGTTGCGACAATATTCTCCACAACCATAGCAGTGTTTTATGTTTGCAGGGTTCTCAAGGATAGTATCGTCCCGTCCCCACACCAACAGGCAGAATCAATCCAGGCCACAGTGTTCACTCCCTGCTCCAGAAGACAGATGACACCCAGAGACGAGAAGAGTGGTACCCAGCATCACACCATCAAATGGGGGGCCAGATCCCAGAATCTCTGAGCTCTATACAGGATTAATGAGGAAACAGACGTCCTCGTGCGCTGGGAGGGTCGTCCATTCGCTCTCCATACGTTTATTAAGCATATACTACTAGTTTATTAAGCATCTACTATGCGGTTGCTGCCTCCAGTTCCAGGGAAAGTAGTGAGCGCAGGTGCAGGGGACCCACCCTTGGGGAACTTTGACTCTTTGATGGCACAGCTCACAAACACAGTTCCAGGATTCCCAGGTTTGGTTCTAAATCCTCCTGGGGTTGAACAAGGCCTCTCCCTGCTGTGTGCGAGCTGCATATCCCCCCCCCCATGCCAGCGAGGTCAATTACTCTCTCGCAGTTTTGCCGTAAAGCTTTTCCAGACTCGCGAGTCACTGCTTTTATTAATTACTGTATTAGCTGTTTTACATACCCTAATTATCTCCCCCACGGCACAGACAATTGCCTTTTTTAAAGCTTTTTTTTTCCTTACTCTTTCTGGTAAAAATAGAAAATATGAATATGTATGGATTTTTAACCTTTTTCAGAAAACACGAGCGCCATCTTCTGGACAAAATGAGAAATACCGACATTGATTCACAGTCTCCACTGGAACGACAACTACGGTAATAAAAATATTAATGAGCCAGACTGTGGTGGCACACGCCTTTAATCCCAGAACTCAAGAGGCAGAGATAGGCGGATCTTAGTGAGTTCTAGGCCAGCCTGATCTACATAGCGAGTTCCAGGACAGCCAGAGCTACACAGAGAAACCCTGTCTCAACAAAACAAACAAACAAAAAAATAAATGAAATAAAAATATTGATGATAATAAAAATAATCATATATTTTTAAAACACAAGAGAGTCATAAAATTCCTTTGTGGAGTGTCTTAATTCCTTTAATAGCATAATTAATTATTCTAAAATCTAGCATGAGAACTAGGCACTTGGCAAAACATGTGGGGGAGGGGGGAGACATGGGCAGGTCTGCATTCTGAGTGCTGAGATCAAGTCTGTGATCTCCACAGCCCTACCTGCTGAGCTCTGCTGTTCCCTGAAGTTTAAAGATTTTGGAATGGAAGGAAGGGCAAATCTGGGACGTGACCTGCACAGCAATTTCCTTCAAGATAAAATTTCTACCTTGGGGGGCTGCTCTCTAATACTCAGGATGCTCTAAGAGAAGGTGAAAAGAGTTTGCTTTGCAGGTGTACTCCTTGATCTCGGAAGTCAGCAACCCGAATGCTTCAGGAAGTCCCTGAAGCCAACAGGACCCAATGGAGTCCTACCTCTGCAGACCTGTATAACCCTGAGTACTGAGAGACTCTCAGAAAAGTTTGCCTGTATAGAAGAGGCTCAACCCACTAAGCCACCTAGAGGCAGAGACAACATGAGCTGTCTACAAGACTCTTAGCCGAGCTGCCTGGATCAGGGAGATCAGTTAAGCTAGCTGCCTAGAAGAAGCAAGAGACCATCCAGGATGCCAGGAAGAGGCTCACACCCACTGAGACCATAAAGACCACTGTCAAACATGCTGAACTGCCTGCAGGCTCTGAGGTGTTTGTATGTTGTCTCCCATGCTGGGCTGGGCTTTGGGTGGGCTGTGGCTGTCTTAGAGTTGTTTCTGTTTCTGTCGGTAACACCAACAAAACTCATTGCTTCACCAAATTTCTCTTTGCTGCTGTCCTCGCTTTTGGGTCTGTCATTAGTTATCCATGTCTCCCTGGGTGCCCTAGTTAGTGATTGGTGCTGTTTTGATTTGATTTGGGGTTTTTGTTTGTTTCTTTGTTTGTTTTTCTGACTTAACCCAAACCAAAGTCATTTGGGAAAAGGAAAATTTAATAAA